GCAAGGATGATCTGCAGCAACTGCACAACTGTCACACTATTGTATTGCACCACTGACCACCTGATCTCTGCTCATGGCACTCGCACATGACCGAAAGTCTTTCGATACTTGCGTATTATGTCCTCGTTCATCACAGTTGCTTGTTACGGCAATACTAGTGTCAGCCTATACTACCGGAGACAAATTCCGTGTGTTCTATATACTTGGCCGGATTATTGTGATACACAAACACCAACACAGGCGCGCTCGAGGAAGGTAGGAAAAGCATGACTCGAGAGCGCCATCTAGTGATGCTTGATCCAAACATTTCCGTTCTCGGGTCACATTTGAGTTGGTCATCGCAGATGAAGTTTAAACAAAGGAAAGAGAAGCCACGCGACTACAAAGGCTCATATGTGAGGTTTCTTTAACGGTAAAATCTTCATTCATTCTGATATAACATTTCATGATTTGACTAACGACTAAAACAGAAAATAAAAATGTCCGACAACACATTTGAATGGATGGACAACAACAACTTCGTCGGCTGCATGACCACAGCAATCCCATAACTGGGAATCATCAATAATGTGATTTGACGCATTTACATGCACTTCTTCCGTACACTTCGGTCAGGCGATCATCAAAAAAAATGGTTTCCGTGGTTCATTCAATTGTTTCGATTTCTTTCCACGTACATGACGTAAAACTTTCGGTCTCAGGACGAGGCCTTCCTCCAGTCCTATCAGAAACCTGCTGGATCTCTCGAAATGCCAGTGGCAATTGCGTTGTACAAGCTCGCCCCCCCCACCCCCCAAAAAAACACTCCCCAAAACGCCCTGGTTCGAATTCATTACGCTATGAAAATTAAATGGAATGATCCGAGACAAAGTTGTTTTACATGTGTAAGCTTTTGTTAAATTGTTAATTGTTGTCATTTTGTTTTTGAACATTGCAGTGTTGTCTTTGATGTTAAAGTTACCTAAATTATATTCTCTTTCATAATTTCTTCATAAATATGTTTATGTTGAGAGCGTCTGATTGGCTGAAGGAAACAGGAAGTGTTTTAGTCGCCAGAAGAAGGGGTTGTGTTCTCGAACGTGCTGCGGTGCGGACGTCTTTTTTTTCCCTTTCAATAAAACTGCATTCAAAGGATTCCATCTCTCCTTTTGCCGTTCGTAAAGTAGAGCCATCCAATCGTAAACAACGACCCCTTCAATTTACACATGCAACGACTATGGCGACATTTTTGAGAGGTTCATGGGCCAAGAGTGACATCTACTGGTGAAACTGTCATTTGAAAAATAAATTCCATCTTCAAACTGTGGAGATCAGTGGTCCTCAAACGTTTTCTTTCTTGTGAGGGCCACATAACTTTTCGCTTCTCTGATGGGGGGGTCAGTTTATAACAGCAAAAGTGTGACTGCAAGAGTACCTAGACGTCAAATTGTATTGTTTCCCAGAAACCCACACAAAATCAAATAACTTTTTTTGATACACTCGCGGTATTAAAGACGTCTTTCTTCTCGGGACACACCACCTCCGCGACAGCATTCATGCATTTCTTGACAAACTCTCCTTACCGCTGCTTGCTATCAGTTGAGCAAACCGAAAGCCAGCCCGAACAGATGGCTGGTTCAGCTGAGCTTGGCGTACAAATGCATTTTGCTCAGCTAACGTTCCTCTCTTTAGCGTTGACAGTTTATCTGCTCGCATTTGGCCATGCAAAATAACATACTTGTCGTTGTGACGGGATTCGTAGTGTCTCCGCAGATTGTATTCTTTGAATACCGCCACCGACAGATGAGACAGACAGCCTTTTCTTTGCAATGAAAAAAAAAATCGTTTCTCAATTTTGGGTTAAATTCCCTGTATTCTGAATATTTTTTTCTCTTACCTCACCTTTTCGCCATGATTACGTTCTCTTTGAGAGGGACGGGTTTAGGATTTTTGGGGTTGCCAGATAACGGCACAGACCCCAGAAGGATGGAACAAATGTCACGTTATATGTGTTTATGAAATTGTTACTAGCTAATAGTTAATAATGAAAATAGTTCAGAACTAAGGAATATTTTATTGCAAAAGCCGAATTTTATGATGGCCGTAGTTTGGTGACCACTGGTGTAGATCAAGGGTGGCCAACCAGTCAGAGACAAAGTGCCAATTTTTTTTACTGTGGGACTGCAAAGAGTCTCTCTCACACACACACACACACACACACACACACACACACACACACACACACACACACACACACACACACACACACAACTGTCACGTTGCAAGGTGGTGGTGGGCCCCAAAAAGCAGGCAGGAGGGAGGAGCAGGGTGTACTTGAAGAAGTGTATTTGAAACAGAGAAAACTAAATCCAAAACAAACATAGTCCAAAGTAGCAAACAAAAATCACAACTGAAGCTTGAACAGAACTGTGACCAAACCATGACCGAAACAAACCTGACAGGACAGCAGCAGACAAACGGCAACAAACAAACATGACAGTAGCAAAGAGCAACAATGACCGACACTGAGTGTTCGGGCTGGGAGTCCTTTTAAAACACTAATTACATAATGACCAACAGGTGTGCAGCTGCAGGGAGAGCCCTACAGTGCCACCTGTTGGTCACAAACCGAATCATGACAAAAACGAGCAACAACTGCGGCCCGCGCGCTTGTTTTTATTGGCCCGCAGCAAATTCTGAAAACATAGTTGAATATGGCCCGCACATGGCGCTTGAGCACAAATCTGTTGAACCTCTCATTTTCAACACTAGATGGAACCAGTAACGGAAAAGGTGCTTCTCCACGAAACAAAATTAAGCAAAGAAAAAAATTTACCACAAGTCACCAGAAATGCCAGCACCGAAGAAATGAAAGATAGCAAGTGAGTGCAGAAGATTTGAAACACGGTGGGAAAATGAATATTTCTTCAAAGAAATCAACGGAAAGTATGTCTGTTTGATTTGCGATGAAGATGTTGCCGTGATGAAGGAGTATAATGTCCGTTGGCACCAATAGACCAAGCATCAGAGCTACGCATCGTACACAGGTGCCGACGAGCACAGAAATTCAAGCGAATGGCAGCGAGCCTGCAAGCTCAACAACAGTTTTTTTTCGTGCTAACAAAATACAGTCAAACCTCGGTTTTTGACCGTCTCTTTTCTCGACCAAATCGGTTTTCGACCAATAATTTCGATTTTTTTTATGCTTCAGATTACGACCGAAAATCGGTTCTCGAACAAACTGAGCGCACTTGAATGCATCATTTGACTCCTCTAGCCTTCCTTACATGAGGAAGTGACGCCTCCTTGTGTCATTTTCCATTGTGAGCAGACGTGTTCAATAAACATTTTTATTTTAAAAAGAGCGTGGTTTCGGTTTTCCAACAATTCGGTTTTCGAACAGCCTTCTGGAACGGATTATGGACGAAAACCGAGGTTTGACTGTACAGGAAAATGCCACAGCAGCAATCTATGAAGTCGCTCAACTTATTGCCCAGAATGGCAAACCGTTTTCAGATGGTGATTTCATAAAGCAGTGCCTCATCAAAGTCAAGGAGGTAATATGCCCGGAAAAATCACAGGATTTCAACAACGTGAGTTTATCCAGAAATACAGTGGTGTGGAGAATCGAGGACTTGTCAGTGATAGAGTATAGACAAACTCAAAGTGATCATGTTTAAAAGTTTCATTTGTATGCTCGATTGACCTCAAACGCGTGTGTCTAGAGCACACAGGAAAAAGGGGCCATCTTGAGCTGAATGGAACTGAGGCCTTGGTAACTCATTCAATCCCAGCCATTTTCATTGGAGCAACCCCCTCAATCCCAGCGTTTGACTGGATTTTGACTGATCTTGTAAGGCCCACAGAATATTTGGTTCTAATGCTATATAAACATGGAGCCTACCAAAATAAAGTTTGGACTCTCTTCTTTCAGCAGAAAAAAATTGTTTCTGTCTTTTTCCATTCTTCAGCAATCGGCATTACAAAATGGCTAAGTTTCATGAAAATGGCGATTCCTGGGCAAAAAAAGGAGAAAAAGGGCTTTTTGTAAAAGCATGCATTTCAATTACGTGTGGCACCACTGCCACCTACTAGTCACTTTTTTACATGATTTACAAGGCTTATTCTCATTCACAGATTGCATCAGATCCTCCTCTCTATGACGCAAAAAAAAAAAAAAGACTAAGACTAAGATGTACAAGTACGTCCTTTGTAGGCGTGGCCTAATTTTAAAAGACGGACAAGTACATCTTGTGGAATGAAAGAGTTAACTGATAGTCCAGGCTGGAAGGTTCAACTTCGGGTGGGCAGCACGATAAAATGTCCTTCAGTTTGTCACAGTGTCTCAGTTCATGCGAAACCTACCCATTGAAGTAACAAGGTATCCATTGTTTGTACCGAGAGATGTTTTGGCCTCTGAGTGGTGTACCGGTGGGCTGGGCTGAGAGACGTGACATGTAAATGAAGAAGGGAGTGTTTTTCTGATATATCACTTATATCACTTTTGTAATTTACATACGCGATCAATCAAAAGCCGACAAAGGCTGGAGGTCAGGTGTCAGCTCAGAAGCGTACACGGAGTGGCTTCGTAGAAAACTCCGCCTCCTGCCGGCAGAAAAGGCAATCTCTTCCTGAGTCTGTTCAACTGTCCGAGCAAACATCTCTGACAGTCATGCATGGCAAGTTGATGAGAACGGGATCGAAAGTTTGTGGAACCTTCTAAAAAATTATCTCCAGATGGGGATTGTTACCTTTCCCTACATATTGTTTGAACAGAGACAAACAATGACCTTGAGTGGTGGACAATGACCTTTAGTGGTGGATCACCTGTTGCGGGTAAACATTCTGAACAGCCAGAAACCACACCTTAGGTCTTAGGACAATTGCCGCAATTAAAGTAAGGCAGAATCTGGTGTGTATTTTGCATGGCTGTCATCTTGCTTCT